TGAAGCAAACAGGTCATGATCAGTGGGGATAGCTAGGGAATGATGTCAGAAGGCTGTAAACATTCTAGTGCAGCTGGGTTCCTCCTAGAAAGAGGACAGTATGTGGGAAATTGTTGCTGTGCATAGCTGCACAGGCAAATCTGGTTGGCAGGAGAAAGGGGACAGAGCTGGTTCAGCACCTTCCTCTGGAAGTGTTCTTCCTAGGACTGCTTCCTCCGTATCTTCACTGAAGCATTCCTTCCAAGTTATCTGCACTCATCATAACTCCCCTCCAGATAGCCTTGCTGAAGTGAGAGCACTCATACCACCAAATAACATTCATATTACCTTGCCTGCACTAGTGGCGCACTCACCCATGCTCTGTAAATTCATTCACAGTGAACTGCAGAACTTGTCTAATGTCTATACGCACATTCTGGGAAGGCTCTGGAGAACTAGAAACACTCCTAGTGGTTGTGTTAACTGCTGAAAGTTTGTGGTCAGTTGAGGTTCAGCCAGCCAATTAGACTTAAAGAACCGGTGTACTTGACTGTGTGTGTGGATGGGGCTCATGTTAGCAGCAACATTTAAGATCAAACACAAGTACACTTTTCAAAGAAAGCAATACTTGAGAAAGGCTCTCTCACCACTGGTGAAAGCAGGGAATTGCCAGCCACAGCAGTAGGTTTTCAGGAACTGGGACGCCTCAGAAGAACGAGGTGAAGCCCCTCCTCATACATCCCCCATGGTAGTATTAGGAGTGCTAGTATTATAAGGAAGGAAGAAGGGGATGGATTTCTCCCAGGCTCTTCAGCAGCAATTTCTGATACTCTTTTTAGCAGTATTATGCACATTCCACTGGAGACACGTCCACAGCTGGGAGGGTCTCACTTGTCTGTGGCTGTGGCTCTGACATGGATTCTCAGATGCCGGGCAAGAGATGACTTGTTGCTGAAGCCCTTCCCACACTCTGGGCAGGGGAAAGGCCGCTCCCCGGTGTGGGAGCGCTCATGAATAGCAAGGTAGGCCAGGTACTTGAAGCTCTTGCCGCAGGCAGCGCAAGGATAGGGCTTGTCCTCTGTATGCGTTCTCTGGTGCACGGTCAGGTTAGAGAGCTGGCTGAAGCGCTTCCCGCAGGCAGTGCAGGGGTAGGGTCGTTCACCCGTGTGGGAGCGCTGGTGTTTGTTCAGATCTGAGGGATTTGTGAAGGTTTTCCCACACTCCCTGCAGGGGTAGGGTCTCTCTCCTGTGTGGAGTCTCTGGTGGGTAATGAGTGTAGAAAGGTGGCCAAAGCACTTCCCACACTCACTGCAGGAGTAGGGTTTCTCCCCAGTGTGGGTCCGATGGTGGGTCTTGAGGTGTGTGAGCCTATTAAAGCTCTTCCCACACTCAGTGCATGGGTAAGGTCTGTCCTTCTCATGGACTCTGCCATGAGCCACGAGTTCCTGCTTCTCCAGAAAGCTTTCCCCACAGTCCCTGCACCTGTGGGGTTTCTCCAACCTGTGAACACCTCCCTCATGGCTTTTCAGTTTTCCTGTTATCTGGGGTCTCCCCAGCACAGGGTGCTGTGTTAATTTCTTGAGTACACTCTCACATTCCACCAGGGGGTCTGCCTCATTCCCTGTTTGGGGTTCTTTTTGCCTTTTGCAGGCTTCTTCCCAACCCAGTTTTGGGTTAACACTATGTTCCAGTTCCGCTAGAGATGTGCTGGGTGGTTGCAAGATTGGAGGTCCTTCCTCATGAGGCTGCTTCTCAGGTCTGCTCAGGATTTCAGCACCTAGTAGGAGGAAGAGAATCCAGAGGTTATTTTACTTTTCTTGTATCATAGCAGTAGGTGTGGCAGACAAAATTGACAAATGTATATCTTAGCTGCTTTAAAAGGGGATGGGGAGCTGCCATTCATGTATGTATATCAACTGTTTTGATTGAACTGCTATATCTTCATGATCCTATAGTGATACAAGCTAGCTAAGTTGCTCTACTCTGACACTGAATGAAGTAAGGCTATAACTGGAAGAGTTCTGCTACCCTTGTATTGCTATAGGATCACACTGACACTATGCTTGCATTGTAACAGCTTTTATTGTTATCCTTTGATACCAATACAATTTTAACTTCTGTCTAGACCCAGAGGTAACTTCCCATCATCGCACTGAAGATGCTCTCCTCATGGATGAAAGTCAGCTATAACGGGACAGGGGCCTTAGGGAAGGCATCAAGGCACATGACCTGGAAGTTTGGCATCACTTTCTCCTTCTTCAGACCCAACATAGTGTTCCCTACAGCCCCATGGCTTCCATTTCTCTCTACTCCAACTCTACAAATTCCTTTCCAGGCTTCATGTCTCCAACTCTCTCTGCCCCTTCTAGCCCTTCTTCCCCTTCATGTTTCTCCTGCCTCTCTTTCCTTCCCTCCTTTTAGGCTACAGTTCATTGCTGTTCTGTGGCTGTTTCCAGGGAAACTGACCTAATCTCTCTGGTACCTTTATGGGCCCAAATCCAACTCCCCCACAGATGGAAATAGAATTTATGTGGCTGAGGTAAACAGACTTTATACCCTACTCTCCTTAGTGGAACTCATCTTGCTTTTCTGAGTATGTGCAGAAAGAATCCACTCTGCCCACTTACACTGTAGAATATAGATACAGAAGGGTAGAAACTATTCAGAAAGGAGAGAAAGAAAACACAGGCAACATGGTAGCACTTGATGGCTAGAAAATGTTAGGTAGAGGTTTGCTTTTAGGAATTGGCTCATAGGTAAAGTAGATATTGTATTAGAGCAATGGTCCAGGGCTGTTGCAAGGTCCAGGGCTGAACAGCAAAGGTCCAGGGCTGTCGCAAGGTCCAGGGCTGAACAGCAAAGGTCCAGGGCTGTTGCAAGGGTTAACTGGTTTCTAAAAGCCTGTCTTGTCACAGTTTCACAGCCTTCAGGAAAGAAAGGGTGTCTGAGGCTAACCAATATACACATCCTAGGAAATTAAAAACAAACTTTATTTTCATAATAGAGATAGACCTGACTCTAGGGCTTACAGTGCCCACTTGCAAAACTCTTGCGATTTCTGGTTTCAAATGAAATGGCCAAATTAAGGCATGTGCATGTGATAGGTTTATGAAAACAGGATTTGGGCTGACAAAATAGAATGTGGATAGTACGACGACCACAGGAATACCAACTAATAATGCCCAAAGATGAAGGAAGAGTCATTGGAGGGAAAAGGATACAAAAGGAGGGGTTTTCAAAACAGCAGGTGGGCAGTTGGCATCAGCCCCCCAACCTCTAAGGTTGCTGATGTTGGACATTCAAGCAAAGAACCACAAGGTGGCATTTATGTACTGGATGGATGTTGTAATCATCTTGCCTGCTTTGCCTGCATTGCTCTTATTTCCTATTACTGTGTGTCAATAAAATTTGCCCATTATCAACCAGAAGAGTTGTGGTTGGTCTGAAGGTTGTGCTCACCTGGAGCAAGGTATCGGCGATGGGTTGTGAATCCAGTGCCAACAACTGGCGACTCTGCTGGGACAGTGATTCTAACTCAGGGACTGGGACTCAGTCCACTGCCAACAACTGGTGACTGGGACTCTGGAACTGGGACTTGAGGACAGTAACCTGACTGATCAGGAATTTGTTGATACAGAGTAAACCTCGTTAGAGGAGTCAGCCAAGACTTGTAGTGGAGTAAGGCTGTCGAACCATGGGTGGAGACCTGTTGGTAAGGTAAAGCCATATGGTAGTTCCAACTAGGGTTGTAAGCTAAGTCTGACCTTCAGGCTGCTGACATCTGACATTCAAGAGAACTTCGGAGTGAAGCTCAAACACTGGCCAAACATACCTTCCCTCTGATGACAACTCTAGGACTGGTAGGTATAGAATTGTTTGCATTCTTCGTATCTGCTATCACTGTGTATCAGTAAAATTTGCCTGTTATCAAATGGAGAGGTTGTGGTCAGTCTGAGGTTTGGGTCCACCTGGAACAAGGTATCTGGGTCTTAAATCCAGTGCCAACAGCTAAGCCATGCAGAAGCACCTACTTAATCCTGGAAAGAAGGACAGTCCTATTAGACAGAATTCACAGGGAAGGATTATAAACACATAGAAGGATGCGAGTGCAATGCAGAAGGATCTTGACAGATTGGAAAGCTGGACTACAGCTAACAGGATGAAGTTCAATGCAGACAAATGCAAGGTGCTATACCTTGGGAGGAATAATAAAAAACACAAATACATAATGGGGTACACATGGCTGGATGGCAACTCTAGAAAAGGACTTAGGAGTCTTGGTAGACCACAGAACCAATAGGAGTCTGCAGCATGATGCAAAAGGCAAATGTCGTTTTGGGCTGTATCAACAGAAGCATTAGGTGCAAGACACGGGAGGTGATAATGCCTCTGTACTTGATATGGTTAGGCCTCATCTGGAGTATTGTGTGCAGTTCCATTTTAAAAAGGATGTGGAGAAGTTGGAGAGGGTGCAGAGGCAGGCAACAAAATGATCAAGAGCTTGGAAGGCAAAACATATGAGAGGCTGAAGGAGTTCCAGAAGCACATTCAGCTTATGGAAACAGTGCTTAAGAGGGAACATGATAGCAATCTTCAAATACTTGAAGGGCTGCTATAAAGAGGGAAAGCACCTTTCCTCTCTTGCTGCAGAGGAAGACATGGACCAGTGGTTTGAAGTTACAGCAAAGTAAGTTTAGATTGGATTTTTGGAAAAACTTCTTTACTGTGAGTTGTGAGACAGTGGAATAGACTGCCTAGGGAAGTTGTGGACTGTCCCTCATTGGAGGTATTCAAAAAGAAGTTGGATAGCCACTGTTTGGGGATGATCTAAGGACAGCTATGACTAGTTTATACCATGGGTATTTCCCATGCTTCTGGGCTTTACTGGTTGCTCCCTGTCCCTGCCCTACCCACCCCCCACCCCTTTTCTGTTATGTTGGTTAGGGTGTTTTTAAGCCTTTTTACAGGTATTTGGCATTGGCTACAGCTAAGGCTGGGGACGTCAACTGGGGTGTTCTGATTCTCTTGTTAGAAGCAAAGTCAGAGGATCCTGGCTAGAGGGTCTTCCCCTTCCGCTCAGGGTCAGACCAACCATCATATTTGGGGGCAGGAAGGAATTTTCCCCATGGCCAGATTAGTATGGACTGTGGGGGTTTTTGCCTTCCTCTGTAGCAGGAGGCATGGCCCTCTACCTGGGACCATCTGAGCATGTATTGACAACATTTTATAGAAGCAGGGCATTGACTGCTGTGCTTCCCTTGCTTTACCTGTGGCAGATTAGGGTGTAAAGACTACCTTCAACCCTGACACAAGATAGACCTATGTGGAATTAAGTTATGGTTGTATGGGATGGTTTGGACAGGGATGAACCAGCCTCTGGCAAGGGGTTGGACTAAGTGACATCTGGAGGTCCTTTCCAGTCCCACTTCTCTATGACAGAGCTCCTGTGTCAGATTAGACCAGGGGTGAGCAAAACGGAGGATCTGGCCAGTGGCCAGACTCCATTTCTCAGCAGCCCAAGCCCACATGGCTCCCAGCCAGTTGGTGTCCATGGGAGCGCAGGGGTGTGACAGGGCAGGGCAGGGCCATGACAGTATGGAGCTGCAGAATTGGGGCTCTGTCCCAGCCTGGCCCCATGCTGTCACCCTCCCAACCCTCCCCCAGTGCTCCTGGGGTCTCTACAAAGACTAGCCAGGAGCCATGTGGTTGCAGTGGTGACAGCACGGGCAGGGCCAGGGCAGAGCCACTATCCGCTACCTGCACACCCCTGCCCGTGGAACCCGTGCTCATCGCAGGGGTGTGCGGGCAGCAGCTTGGGTCTCTGGCTCAGCCCCACCTTGTGCTGTCACCACTGCAAGATCCTGGCCCCAGCCCAGCTCCCTGCCAGTCTCCATTGGAGACCCTGGGAGCATGACAGCACCCTGGGAGCCAGGAAGCCCTGACCCTGGGAGCCAGGCCAGTCCAGGACAGAGCCCCTTTTCTGTGGCCCTGTGCTGTCATGTCCCCATGCTATCACACCCCATGCTCCTGGAGTCTCTATGGAGACCGGCCAGGAGCTGTGCAGGCAGAGGCTGCTGGAAAATGGAGTCCACCTCCAGTCCAATGCAGCTCATGGGCCAGACTTTGCCCACGCCTGGCTTAGACTGTGAGAAACATGCTTGTACCCTCAGTATACATCAGGAACTCCCACTGCTACCCCTGAAGGATTTCCCTACTGCTTAGCTACAGCGATGGGCCCTCTTGTCTACTTCCAAGCCTGTGCCATGTCCTTTTTAGCCTGCCTGCTAACATCCTGCAAGCCTCCACAGCCTCTGCAGAGGCCTGTCCTCACCATTCTCTCTAACCATCTGCCAGAACAGAGAGAAAATATAAGTAGAGTCCCTCTACCAAAGGGTCCAAATCTCCCAAATCCTACCCCAGAGTACCCCTTCTGTCTCACCTTCTTTCTGAGCCAGCTACAGGAGAAAGGAGGAAGGGAGGAGCTTTTACCAGGAGTTGGCAAGGATGCATGAGATGCTGTGAGTGATATTGCTCAAAAGGAGGCTGAGTACACCACTGAACATGAGAGAGAGAAGGAAACTTCACTGCAGATGCCCAAGGCACCAGTCAGCTCCCAAAATCCTATTCCCACTTTCTGGGTCACTTGTCACCTGAGACAGACACAACACATACCATTTCTCTTACCTGACTTCCCATGGATTTCAGAAATTGACCCTTGCTGGATGTCCTTTGTAACCCACTGCTAGTTTTCTGAACTAGTTAGGACCCCCATTTTGCTCTCCCACCCCACATTAAAGTTCAGAGATTCCATTTCCTGTTGGCCCCTCAGTGCACTCCACCCCAAGAGCCTCCTGTCCCCCATAAACAGCTTCTTACATATTTCTTGTAGAATGTGTGGCCTTTTTCCAAGTTTACAAGGTTGTTCACACTTCCTCAATCCTGTCTCCTCCTGGGACGTCCACCTGAGATTGGGTTGTGGCTGCTCCATCTGGAGTGTCTGAGATTCCCATGTCTTACAGGTCTCCATTTCCTCTGTCACTTCCTCAACCTTCACATGCACTGTGACCTGGGACAAAGCAAGCATGTCACCATGAAGCCCAGGAAAGTGAAGCCATGGCATAGTAGCACAGGCCCCACTGCCCCCAAAAACCATGGGCTAGACAGCTGGGAAGAATTTTCTTGATCTCACACAGGGTACCCTGCAAGCAGATACCCTGTGTCTTCATGATAAACAGAAGGACCCTGGGGAAGAGCTATGTCACAGTGTTTAAGGCCTTCAGGGTTTGCGCTGTATTTAGAATCCAGTCTCATGAGGCCTTCCAAAAAGCCATTGGGACACCCTAGGCAAGAGGCTAAAGCAAGTACTAAATGACTGCATGACAACCACTGGTACTGCACAGTCCTGGTGCCACACAGGTCATTTCCGACCCTACTGCACAGTAGCAATGAACTATTGCACAGTAGCTCATTGCTGCTGCACAGTAGTGGCAGTGTCATGGTTCATGTCCGCCAATGCTACATTGTCATAGCAATGAACTACAGTGTAGCATCTCATGTAGACACATCCTCTGAGTGTAATTGCTCTAATCAAAGTGTCACAGCATTTCCAAGTAGCTCCAAAACTATGATATGGAGGCACTGATGGCAATAGAGAACTTCTCTTTGGCACCGACCACTGCAGGTGCTACCACTGGCCTTCTGAAGTAAGGCAGCCTGGAGGAAGAGAAGAGCTTTCTCTTCCACAAGGATAGTTGCTGCCTACATTGCAGAGATGGTGCTCACTGCTGACTATCCAAGATCAGGCCATATCTCCAATATCCTTCCTTTGCCCCTAACAACATTTGTTTGATTCATGCTTTAACATCCATACAGCCAAATTCCACTCTACCTAGTAGATGCCCAAGTGTGATCCTACTGTACCCAGACTGAATCCCATTACTAAATCCAAAGATGGAAGGATCTTCCTCTTCCTTGTTGCTCTTTGCAACTTAGCCTTATGGCTAAGATGATGATGTACAAAAAGTAAATGAATTATGGTTTTTCAGGGAGTTGAACAGGGTGGAACAGGATCCCATTTTGGTGCCTAGTGGATAAAATAGGACCTGTTCCCCAGTCTATTAATGAGGTTACTTTACTAATGCAAATTCCAGAGAAATCAATGCACTGTACTGACACCCACAAGTGGCTGTGAAAATATCGATGAAGGGTCTTACATGACATTGAATGGAAGTAATAACATTTAGACAAAGAAAGAGAGAACAGCAACTCCTAACAAGTACAACCTCCTAGAACACTGATAAAAGAAAATCCCTGGGACTCAATAATCAGCTGAGCCCTGAAGTGGCCAGACAAATCCTGCCCCAGTGCTGAAAATACAGGCTCAGGCAACTTCCTGCTATGTTGTGCCAGTGCCCAAACCTGGCTGGACAACTTTTTCTACGAAAGCTATAGGAAGAAAAGGCCCCACAAACCCACTCTCAGCTGCTGCTCCCATACCCCATCCTGATTTTGTCAGATTTCCCTACCTGGAAATCTTCTGCCAGGGACACTGCTTGGGCACAGGTCTCAGGGCAACGCTCAGAAACCCAGGTCTGGATTTCCTCCGGCAGAATAATGAGGAACTGCTCCAGGATCAGCAGCTCCATGATCTGCTCCTTGGTGCGGACCTCAGGCTTCAGCCATTGATGGGAGAGCTCCCAGAGCCGGCAGTAAGCCTCACGGGGCCCCTCGGCCTCATGGTAACGAAACTGCCGGAAGCGCAAGCGCTGCATGTTTGTGCTGATGCCGCGCTCTTGGAGGATGGCTGCCTTCACCTTCTTATAGTCCCCCATGTCCGTGGCATCCAGGCTGCTCACAGCCTGCTGGGCTTCTCCATTAAGGGAGGGTATTAGTCGGGTCACCCACTCGCCTTTGGGCCACCGGCAGGCTTCAGCTACTAGCTCAAAGGAAGTCAGGCAGGCCTCAATGTTGTCCTCTGGGACCAAGTGTAGTGCTGGTGGTGTGTTTGATACTGGCACTGGCGCCGACACAGCCTGAGGAGGAGGGCTCGTGGTCCGCAGCTCCTCCTGCGGCCGGTCTCCCCAGCTCTGGGGCACCCTGTCACGCTGCTCAGGCCTCACCTGTTGCGGGCTGGGTGGGGACCGCTGGGGAGTGACGGAGAGGGAGGTCAGCCCACCCGGGCCTTTCCCTTCCCTCTCCAGGCCCTTCCTTCGCTTCCGGCCTGGGGGACCTTCCCTTCCTCTCCCCTTCACTGGCTCCCTCGGCACCAGCGGAGCGAGGACCCGGAGACTCCGGGGCTGCCTGCCCCGCTGCTTTGTAGCCATCTCCTGGCTTCGCAGCTCTGGCCCAGCGGTGCCCGCCTGTACCCCGCCTGCTGCCGACGGACTTCCCGCGGGCGGGCGCGTGCAGCCCCGCGCTAGGAGCGCGCCCCGAGCGGACACAAGCACCCCACACAGACCCCCTGCCGCTTCGCTTCCCGCCCCGCCGCCGCAACTTCCCCGAACAAAGCGCTCCCCCCTCGTCGCTGCACAGACTCCCCCGGCAGCATAGGGTTAACCCCACCCCCGGCTGCCCGACAGGCCAGCGATTGGCCGCGCAACCTGTCTCTCACGGCGGCCCGGCGAGGCCCGCCCAGGACACACTGGGAAAGGGGCAGCGCCCCAGGCGTTCGATCCGCCCCGCCAGTCCCCGCCCCCGGGCCTTGAGTGACAGGCATCCCGAGCAATGGCGGCCCAGCAGGGCGGGGCGACCGGCTCTTTCCAGCTTCGCCTTTGAGGCCGAACGTAGCCTTCGAACCTGCTTTGATGTGTCTGGGTTCTGGGCCAAGCGATGTATGAGCCCAGCGGCCGACATCCTGCTGCTGGCAAAGGTGGTTCAAGTGGAGCTCCTAGGAGGGGCCACGACCCCTGGTAGGGAGGAAGGTAAAACCCCCGTGGGCCGACCAATCTGACCCCGGGGGCAGGGGCGCAGAGGGACAAGGGCTGGTGCCGAGCTGTGAGCTAAGCAAGGCCAGGAGGGTAAGGCCGCATAACAAATGAAACCTGACTTGGGGTCAGGGGGTAGAGAGCTGGTTTAGGCCAAGGCTTGGGGACACTAAGGCCACGGTAGTGAGGCTAAAGCCAGGGAGGAGCTGAAGCCAGAATAGGTGTAGGCTGAGAAGTCTAAAGTCTGGGGAAAGGGGCTGAAGCATAGGCAACATGTAGGAGGGGCATGGGGAGGCACGTGCCCCCCTGAGATTGGTGACCACTGCTGGCGGTCCCCCCTTGCTGCTTACCCCCTGCCACTGACACCGCTGCTGGCATCTGTGGGTGGTCCCCGCTTGCCACCCCTCTCCCCACCCGCCTGCCACCAGACCCTGTTCACTGCCAATGCTGCCACCTACAAATGGGGAGACACCAGTTGTTCATGGACTGAAGCCCAAGATAAGAAACTGAACCAGGGCAAGGGGCCAAGGGAGACAAGAAAGCCTAGCCAGGGCCAGGTGCCTGGCAGGCTGAGTGGATTGTGTGACGAACAGGGTAGCAGGGCCCAGTAGATTAACTCAAAGTAACCCCTGCCAAGCATAGGTGTAGCTACAGGGGAGGATGGAGGCCATGAATACAGCCCATAAGGCAACTAGGGCCCTGAGGCACTTAGAGCCAGAAGGACCACAACTTAGTGTCTAAGGGGCATGACTAGGGCTAGCTAGGCATGGGAAGTACCATCTGGCTGATGTTTCCCTCTTGGACTCTGGGGTAGCCTCCTGAAACACTATAAATATTCATCAAGGTGTGGCAGGAAAGGGAAAAGGAAGGGTACCCTGAGGAGCTAGAGTGGGGCAGGAATTGCTTGGTCCCCAAAGGGTGTTGTGGCCACCCCTGGGGCCAGGTCCTGCTACAGTGCTAAAGGGCTCTTTGAGGTAGCAAGTTGGAAGCTGGTGGACAAAAGGCTGCAGCTGGAAGTTGAAGCTAAATAAATTCCAATTAAGGATAAGGCATAAATTTTTAACACTGTGAGAGCGACTAATCATCAGAACAAGATCCCTCAGGACAGGGTGGATATGATGCTCCATCACTTGATGCATGTAGGTCCAGAGGGGGTTGCCTTGTCTTGAAGATGGTATAGTCAAACACAAGTTATCTGGGATTGATACAGGGGAACTTGATGAGACTTTCTGGCTGTGAAATATTTGAATATATAAAAGCCCTATCCTCTAGCCCAGTGAACCCTATTCTTTGCCATTAAAGACCACTGAAATGAACATGGGCAAATTAATCAATACAAACATTATTGATTGTATTGTTAACCCTTGCCAGAAAAATCAAGTACAAATTACACTTTGCCAGACGTCAAGGGCAAGATGCAAAGGAATATTTAGGCACCTAAACTCTTTTTGAATTCACCTTTCTCCTACTGAAATTAATGGGAATGTAGGTGCCTATGCATCTTTATGGATGGCTCCTTTTATCTTGTGGTGACAAGGTTATAGCACGTGAAATAGAGATGGATGATATAAAACAGTAATTCATATAAAGCATTTGCCGCCTGCTGCTGTTGTTTTTGTTATGATTATAAGAAGTCTGAACTCAGCAGCTTAAAAATGTAATTAGAGACAATGTAATTGATCAAGAGTATGGTTAAACAAGCACATTGCAATGAGTTGAAAGTGGGCAGGGACAGTACATCAGCTGATCCATGGCAACTATCTATGTGCCCAATATTATTCCAAAAAAAGCAAAAGCTAAAGTAGGATAAGGTTATCCCTCAGAGACTGCAAAGGCACTAAGCATACAGCTTATTTGGGGGAGGACATAAAAAAGACTTTATTTCATAGTTTCATAGTAGCTAGGGTCAGGAGGGACCTGAACAGATCATCTAGCCTGACCCCCTGCCACAGGCAGGAATGAATGCTGATTTGAAAGATGGACAAATATTAAACCAGTAAAAGGATAGCTATGGAAGATATTTATCCAGGTGCTTAAAACAAGAACAGCATGAAGATATGCAGTGGTAGCTTACATGTTATGTGGCATGCATATAAGGGGGCAGTATTTTTTAGAGGTAAGATTCGTCAGGGAACTGCATGTGTGAGACAGATACTCTTACAAGCTGCAAGCAGACATTATAAAATCATCAGAAATGTTCCTTCTCATATGACTGGGAATCTTGAGTAGATCTCCGCCTTGGCAAACAAGGAAGTAAGAAAAAAGCAGGATCAATGGGAGTAGGACACCCCAGTTTCTCTGTCTCCTTCCTACCACCATCAGTCATCCAGGGTATTGTTAGATGTTACCTTTTCTACATGCTAAGTGCTCTTAAAACAGAAATGTCTACACATTAAGGCAGAACAAGAGGAACAAAGTACCTTTTGAACATCTCAAAGTTATGCCTCTTTGGGTGAGGATTATCTCTGTCTGGTGTAAGGCAGCTTGTGTTGCAGTATCATTCCACTCCATGGGACTAGTACCAGCAATTCTCAGTCCTTCAGTACCCCAGCATGCACCACTCCCAGTTTCTCCCCTCCTCCCCCTTTATGTGGCTGATCTATCATCTGAAATTCTACTGCCCTGCACTGACGGAGACCCAGGGAGAACTGGGCAGCTGTTGGTGAGTGGGGAGCCATAGGTAGGGGAAGGAAGGTGGGAAGGGAGCCACTGGCAAGCTTTGGGGACAAGAGGGTGATCGGAAAGCTGCTGGAGAGCCAGGCAGCTATGAGGCAGACTTGGCAGCTCCAAGCCACATGCCCCTGTTTGGGATGCCTCTAATGGCAAGTCAGAGCTGTTCATACTAGAGAGGGTATGAACCCTTAATGTGCAATAGCTTACCGCATGTACTAACGTTAATACTGCCTAACATTGTTAGCATGTGAAAACTGTAATGGGTAATGACTTCCTTACATGTAGAAGTGTTTGCAGGAGGAAAAAAATTGGAAGGAGTTCCTTGTCACTCCTCAATGTCATGCTCGCTTTTAATGCTCTTTTTGTGCCACTCATGCTTCTCCCCTAAAATCACAAGGAAAGAAAGAAAAACAGGGTCTTCTCAGTACAAATGGGGGAAAAATATTTGGGTTTAGCCATTACAAGTTGTCAAAAGTGAGAACAAATACATTAAAAGCCCTGTATTTTAGTGTGAAGCCCAGAGGAGCAAGTACTGACATAATAACTGGAGTAACTAGATATGCCCACGCGGCACCACCCTACAACAGCCTCATTTCTGGCCCCTGCAGAGCAGGCACGAACAGGTCAGGTGTGATCTATGGCATCACTCTAGCAAGGAGTACAGGGGCTATGTAGCCAAGGCTCAGGTGGTCATTCTACTGAGTTCAATTAAAGATGGGTCAGTTAACAACCTAACTTTCCTCCATACCTTCCCACCTTCCTCTCTCTTCTCCTTAGTGCTAGTTGGAAGCATTATACTCCTTGCCAGACAGCTAATGGAGTTTATTGCTGTTTGAAGACTGAACTAGTTCACTGATCATGGGGAATTGTATTTCCAGAAGGGATGGACTTATCATGCATGAAAAAGACAGCTTAACACAGAATGTTTCAGGTGCTGTGACTTAGGGCACTTGTTGCAAAGGGCACTACTCTGCTCCTTGAAACATAATGATTTGTTGAGGCAAATACCAAGCAGATGTTGCTTCTCTTTGTATAGGATGCACTGCATATATTGTAGTTTACCTTTCTATTTCAAGAGTCATTTGCTCAAACAAAGGATAGAATACACTTTTAATAAGATGTCTACCCTCTACTGGGGGATAGTGCAAACTATGGGTGGAATTCTGAAATTGTGCTGCTTGGGATCGGCTCTGGGGTAAACGCAAGTTAAAAGAAATGAAAACAGAAATATTTCCTGCAAAGAGACTGTAAGGAGGTACAGCTTCCATGGGCTGAAACCCCAGGTGTAAAGGGGTAGCAGTTCATAGGCAGCCTGGTTAGAAGGCTGGGATCATTATCCCCACCCTGGCATCAGGAAGCCCCATGGGGGCAGGGTGCAATATCCCAGCCTTGGCCAGGCTACTGCTGTCTCCTGGCTTCATGCTCCCTGCTAGCCCCCAGTAGAAGCCTAGAGTTTCCCCCTGGTGGCAGCATGAGCCCATTGCAGGGCACCAGGAAACAAGATCAGTTTGCTGCCATTAGCAACAAATCTGCGTCTGCTGCGCTGCACATGCGATGTTTACCCAGGAGTGTTTACTTGCAAGTAGTTTACTTGTGAGTAAACTGCTTTGGGATCTAATGCATGTGTAGACACACCCACTGGCAAGTTTTAAAGGGTGTACAAGTAGCTGGGCTGCATGAATGCATTTTAAAGGTCTGGGCATGCATGGAGCCTTGCATTGGGGAGCAAGTTCCTGGTGCTAGACTCCTTGTATGCTGGGAACTTTAAATGGATATGTGGGCAGCTGAGCATGGGGGAGCCGCTCTTTTAATTTGCCTGCAAATTTGAAAGGCAGGGGGCATCCCAGAACCAGGGAGCAGCTCCCAAACCCAGGCTCCTCGCATGCCCTTTAAACCAAGTGACATGCCAGGCATTAAAATTGTTGTGGGACTGC